GGAAGAGAGGGAGCGAAAGAGACAGAGCGAGCACGCCAGAGACAGACAGACAGAGACAGACAGAGAGATGGAGTCCAATGGCACTTGGTGAGATCCCCCTTTCCAGTTCTAACTGGAGGAGGAAGAAACCTAACAGCACAGCTTGCATTCTTTATTAGTGGAAGGGAGCAAGAGTCCAGTCGCACCTTAACGACTAACAAAATGTGTGGCAAGGCATGAGCTTTCATGAGTCACTGCTCACTTCTTCAGGATCAGCTAGAATGTGAGTCCATCTGTCTTTATATCTTAGAGAGTGAAGTGATTTCAGACGCCAAATGACAATAGCAGGGAATGGTAATGAGAGAAGAAACCTAAGACTCAATTCAGTCCAGAAGGATGCATTGTCTTGAGCTTCATTATCGGTTGTAATTCAGTAGTCTCTCTTTCTAATCTCCCTTTGAAATTCCTGCTACTCTTAGGTCAGCAACTGAATGTCCTGGAAGGTTAAAATGTTCCCCCACTGGTTTCTGACTGTTGTTCCTAATAGCAGTAGAAAGAGTAAGAGTCCAGTAGCAGCTTAAAGACTAACAAGATTTGCAGTCGGGTATGAGTTTTCGTGAGTCACTGCTCACTTCTTCAGATTTATTTCCATTTATTATTTGCATCCTCTTGGACTGAATCCTCCTGGATCAAACTGAGAATCCTTCTTGTTTCCTGTCTCATTACCAATGCTGGTATCTCCACACCTACCACCCCTCTGCATATCACACCTAATCCAATTAAGCCTGCTATTGAATTGTAATGATGAAAAACTGATATTGATGATGATATGAAGTAATTTGGAGCAGGGGTGGAAGCATTGTGGGAAGCCATTGGAGGGAGGGGAGGAACTGGGAATGGGGTAGACAATTGATAGAATGAAATGTTTTATATGTTGTATTCCTGAGAAAATAAAATTTGTTTACCAAAAAAAAAAAAAAAAAGCCTGCTATTGCCAATTAGCATCTGAAACCATCTTTATAAAGTTTATATCTCCAGTACCTCATGTTACATTTTATGGCACACATAGCCTGGCGGCAAAAAAGTGACATTTATGTCAGATCCAGCTCTTGTAACAAATGAGTTTGACACCTCTGTTCTAGACATACTTTTGCCTCCTCTGACATGGGTCCCACGTTTTCACATCCTTTCACAAATTGATGCAAAAATCTTCATGTGGACATACAGGGTTGATGCCTTCTTGCATTGGGATGTGCATCTCTTGTGGTGGAATGATACCTGTGTACAAATGTGGACTACCTTCTTCTGCATGGCATTATTTTCAATGAGAAAATATGCTACTGATGTCCATCAAAGGAAGCTTCAGCCCATTTGCCTAAGCAAAGGGGAGAAGTTCCCTCTCTCCTCTCAAACAGCAACTGGTTGGCAGATCAAAGATTACTAGAAGGCAAAAAAATGTGGGAATGGATTGAAGACAGATGTTTCTATGAACATTTTCATGTGTACCTTCCCCATAGCTACCTTTGCAGTGAAAAAAATCAGACCTCTTAAAATTTGACATAGTACTAATTGCTATATGTACAGCTGCCAAGAAGAGGAATAAATTTCTATGTAGACAAGAATACACATGCTATAATTTCATTTATACTCACCAACTAGCTCCTGAGGATCTTTCTTCTCCACTTCTGAAAAATCCTAAGAAGAGAGAAAACAAATATTGGCATAAAATAGACTTAAGGCATATACTACATAATCATTTTAAATACCTACATCACTCTTGCAGCAACTTTATAACACATGCCATAAAGATGCAACTGAAGGAATGATTTTCAGAACAGCATTATGTTTCTACTGAATTACAGACTGCTATACCTCTGAAATGCACCTAGCTGTATTATTCATGTAGAACATGTAGAAATTGCCCTCAATACCTATGGTCTCAGAACAAGATACTCTCTGCCCTCATCCTCTTAAAAATAGTTTATTCAAAAGTTAAACAAATTGCGAAGAGGTAGCTGCCATATAAGATGCTACTGATCTCCACCACTGTTCAAAGCACAACTGATCTTCTTTTCCATCCTGAGCAATTAATGTATTAGTCAACTGAAGAGTATAAAACAAAAGTCACTGGGATGCTTCAAACAATCATTGTTAAAGAGCTACATCTATAGTTTTGTTGGCCAAACCTATACATACATCAGAGGTACATAAGATAGGAGCTATTCAAGACAAACAGATCTGAAAAGTGGTGTGGCTGAGGACCAATCAACTTAGTTCCTCTAACACGAAGTCATAGTGACACCCACTAACTTTGCAGTTTCAGTACTGAAGTGTGTCCTTCCACATTTTCAGAGAGGGTATCATGAAAGGAAAGGATTAACACAGGACACTGCTGAGAGACTATCCCAGGGCACAGTGTGAGAAGCCAAACGTCATAAAAGGGAGGGGGGGGGAAGGGAAAGCAAGGCAAACCAAGAGAAGGGGCAAGCAAAAAGCACCCAAACTGCTTATAAAACTAATGCCAAACAAACGGCCAAATGTTAGGAGCAGCAGTAGCAGCGGCATCCTGTCTCCATCTTCTTTTCTTCTAGTAAGCCTTTGGTGATTTGCCAATATTCTACTGGAATACCCCTAGCTCACTCCTACACTGAAGCTATTCATTCAAACTGAAATGGGCAAAATGCGGCCTATTTGTCACCTAGCAATGTAACTGTGCTGCCGTGCTTCTTTCTTTTTCTTTTTTTGCCAAGTAGCCAAAGCAGGGGCTTTTAAGGGGGCCAAGGTTCAATAAACTAGTTTAGGATTCTGCTCTGCCAAATCCAGGATGGTAACAACACGTTTCAAGAGCCTCAATCTCTGAAGGATTAGTATCTGATATTTTGGTAGTACTAGCAACAGCATGGGGGCTTTTGCAGCTTTTTGCTAAGGACTACTGGGGCTTCAAGAATGCTTGTGCCACAAAAACACAAGACTAATTTTTTTAAAAAAGAAAGAAGTTACGTTACAGAGAAAATGACACCCCCATTTCCCACTAGCCAGTTGGCAAAAAACCCCTACACCCCTTTATGTAAAACTGAAGCAAACTGTGTTGCTAATTCTTTCTATTGCCATATAAATCCTGGGATAGTTGCCTAATGTTTAAGCTCTAAAGGTTCAGAGGATTTAATGTTCTGCATTAAAAAAAAAACACCTGAAATAATATTTGACATTCAAAAAAATCAAGTTCCAGAACAGCAGTGATTATAATGATATGGGTGCTGCATTCTTGCAAAAGATACCAGGAGCTGGATTTTTACAATGTAATTATTTTCATAGATAACAGAACATGCAATATGCTTAACAGGAATAAAGCAGGACAGCTATATATATCAGACTAGAAGCAACAGTTAAATTTGATGAGCAAGTCAGTCAGCTAAAAAGAACGTTAGGAAGGTTTATGTGTATTGGGAATTAGGTTTCCTTTGCTCAAAAGCTAGTTGAATCTGACTCTAGGAGGCGGTACTCATCTCTGTTTCCAAGCTGAAGAGCCAGCATTGTCTGAAGACATTTCTGTGGTCATGTGGCCAGCATGACTAAATGCCAAGGCACACGGAATGCTGTTACCTTCCCACCGAAGCAGTACCTATTTATCTACTTGCAATTTCTTGCTTTCAAACTGCTAGGTTGACAGGAGCTGGGGCCAGAGACCGGAACTCACTCCATCATGCGGCCCACTCGGGTCTTGAACTGCTGAACTACAGACCTTCTGGTCTGCAGCTCAGCGTCTTATCCTCTGAGCCACCACAGCCCTTGTACTGGGAATACAAGAGGCTGGTGAAATAACTCACTTGCATATTACAGCAGCTGACTGAAAGCCCTTACCAATGGAATCTAACAATGTTCTACAAAGGGATTTCACTCACTGAGGTGCAGGAGACCCCTTCCTGCTTCATGATTCCCTATCAATTTCCAGCACCTTCCTACCAAAAAAGTAGTCTTCCATGAACTTTAACCAATAAGCTGGGTATATGTATGACTACTATCACTAAAGGCAGATATTCCAAATCACAAATCAGAGGCTATCCAGGCAGGAAGCAAAATGGAGGCACAATGGGTGACCTTGGGCCAGTCACTCACTTTGTCTAGCCTATCTCACAGGACTGTTGTGATGACAAAACAAAGAAAATTATGTAAGACACTTTGGGCCCCCAACAGGGAGAAGGGTGGGATATAAGGTGAGAGCGGTGGTGCAGGCAGTTAAAGCCTGCAAAAAGTAATCTATCACCGAACAGCCTTAAAAGCTGTTCGAGCCCCACCGCGGCCGGGGTGAGCTCCCGGCCCATGTCCCAGCTCCCGCCCACCCAACGGTTCGAAAGCCCTTAAGGCAAATAGATAAATGGGTACCCACTCCTAGAGTGGGGGGGCACCCTACCCTTCCTCCAATAAAAAAATTGGAGAGCAGCAGTGGCGGCTGAGTGGCTGGACGGTGGTGCGAACGGCGATCTGGCAGGAAAAGAACATGGCGGCGGGCCGGCAGGAGACAGCGGGCGACTTGGATGGCGATTGGCCTGGGGCGACATGGCAGCGTGGTGACGCAACGCGGTTGGAGCCTGCGGGACAGAGACCAACGGTTACGGCATCGCACGCCTTAAAAGACCACCCCAAAAGAGCCATAGGAAGAGAGAGAGACCTCCGCCGAAGACGCCGTTGCCTAGACACAGCAAAAAGAATCCGCCACGAAAGAACAACAGAAGACCAATGCTGCATAGGTGCCTAGTAAGGCACTCCCCCTCCCCCTTGCATTGTGGCTCTAGCTAGGCAATTAAATGTCTATGTAAACCACTCCGAGCCTGTCTAATATGTAATGTAATGTAATGTAATGTAATGTAATGTAATGTAATGTAATGTAATGTAAAGCAAATAAATAAAATGACTTGTGACTACTTTGCATAAATACTTTTAATAGCTTGGACCAAATAGCAAGTCTCTATTCCATTCAGATGTTTGCACAGCTATAGTACTAATTCCAGAACATGGAATTTCATGCATATTTACTCTGAAATAATTTCCGAAGAGTTAATGAAGGCTTACTGCCAAATGACAGAACTGCAAACTAAGACTCTTACTGCTATTGTAATTATTTTTTTAAGATAGGAGAAACGGCAGTAACATGAGAGAGTTCTTATAGGGAAAAATGGCACCAGTAACCATTAGAGGCCAACTGTCCAACATTGCTTTGTAAATAATTTACAGCACTGAAACTAAGAGAGAACCCATGTCTCTACACTGTGGCAGAATAGCATACTCCCATGTTCAGGGTTTTGGAGGGTCACAATATCTAGTATGCCAACTTTGCTTCTTTTAAGCGCCTACAAGCTTTTCAGATGTACTATATTTTAGGGAGGTACAGAAGAAGAATACTCACTTCAATTGTTAGAAAGGTCTCACTCATCTCTCTTTCGTGATGCTTATTGTACATTATGTACATTAGAGAAAAGGCACAATATTTTCCCTGCAATTCTAGTTTTTACCCTCTTTTCCAAATCTACAGAGAAAAATCAGCCAGTGTAGTCTTCAGCACTTCAGGGCACATCAGAGCTAACTCATCACACAATGAAGTCAACAGGCCCTCCTAAGTAATCAGCCATCAAATACTCTCCTTGCTCAGAAGACATAAATTCTGCTTACTGCAGGAAAAGGTATGCCCAATACTTCATGACTGAACTAGCCCACGGCATGACAAAGCCTTTCATTACTACACAAAGTCATTTAAGAACTCTTAAGTATATAGCTTCGGAAGTCAGAGGCCACGTAACTCCTATGTGCCATTTTATAAGTTCAAAACCTTTATATACAGTAACTGCCTGATTGTGTATGTGATAGAAGTCTCTCTTTCAAAAAGTGATACAATTCTTTCTTTCAAAAGTGACAGTTGACAGATCAAGGATGTGGCTTAACTATAGGTAACAGCAAAGATGAGGACACCAGACACAGTTGGCACAATTCCCCTCTCACAGCTTTCCCAAAGCTTCCTGGATACAGACTGGTGAAACCATACAAAGCTTTGCTTTGTTCAAAGAACCACTTGCTTGTGGACTTCAGAGCAGAGACTGATTGAAATGACACGAAATAAGAGAGTGAACAGAATCTCTAACTGCACAATTTTTAATCACCACCCCAAGCCTCCTGGAGAAAATTTAGCTTGCTAAGATTGTTCTAAGAAGCTTTTCAAAGAAAGACTACAATCCTAGTGTGCCAAAAGTAGATATAACTTGCATAGTAGACCTTCACACCCATGTAGAAACATGCACATACACTGTCAAGTAATCAAGGGTCATCTACATGTTTAGTTACCATCTCAGTTATTCACTGATCTCACCCACTGTCAGCAGTGCCAGAGGATAACAAGGTAATCTTTTGTTATCATAAGTTGTGGGATGTTGTGGATGTCTGATCTGGAATGGGGGAGGAAAGGAGTCAAGTCAAAGTGTCTGTCTGCTGAACAGTTGTAACCTGTTGGCCACATTAAAGTCAGTCTGCAGAAAAAAACCTGCATTATTTAGCTGCTGGCCACCTTGCATCACCAGGAAAATATGAATTCCCAACAAGAACAGTTGACCTTCTGCACTTCTGTAAGTGAGCTCAACAGCAGCACTTTCGTCCTACCTGATACTGTACTGATGAGCAAAGACAGCAAGGCTGATGCAGTCAATAAA